CCTTAACAATTACTTCCCATCACCTCCCCCATCACAGCATGCAACCACTAATCTATTTTCTGTCTGTATGTATTTGCCTATTCTGGGCATTTCATATAAATGGGATCACACAATACGTGATCTTTTATGGCTGGCTTCTTTCAAGCAGCACAATGTTTCTAAGGTCATTCATGTTGTAGCCTGTATCAGTATTTCATTCCTTTTAATGGTTGAATAATATTCTATTGTATGAATATACCACATTTGGTTTATGCATTCATGAGTCGATGGACATTTAGGTTGTTCCCACTTTTTGGTCATTATGAATAACGCTGTTATGAACATTCATGGACAAGTTTTTATGTGGACATATGTTGCACTTCTCTTGAGTATATACTGAAGAGTGGAATTGCTAGGTTATATGGGTTATAAACTCTATGTTTAACACTTTGAGGAACTTGCAAAATTTTTTCCCAAGGGGCTGAACAGTTTTACATTCCTACCATCAATGTATGAGGATTCCAATTGTTCTACATTTTGGACAACCCTTGTTATGATCTGTAGCCCTGTTAGTGGATGTGAGATAGAATCTCATTGTGGTTTTGATTTGTATTTACCTAATGATCAATGAGGTTGAGCATCTTTTCATGTGCTTATTGGACATTTGTATATCTTCTTTGGAGAAATGTGTATTTTAAGTCCTTTTTCTATTTTTAATTGAGTTATCACTTTTTAATTATTGCATTGTAGGAGTTCTTTATATATTCTATACACACGTCACTTATTAGATGTTTCATTTGCAAATATTCTCTCCCATTCTGTGGGACATCTTTTCCCTTTTTTGATGGTATTATTTGTAGCACAAAAGTTTTTCATTTTGATGAAATCCAATTTATCTTCCTTTTTTATTTCTGTTGCTTGTGCTTTTAGTGTTGTGTCTAAGAAGCCATTACCTAACCCGAAGTCATAAGGATTTATTCCTATGTTTTCTTCTAAGAGTTTTATAGGTTTAGTTCTTACATTTAGGTCTATGATCCCTTTGAGTTAATTTTTGTGTATGGTATGAGGTAGGGGCTCAACTTTATTCTTTTATACGTGGATATCCAGTTGTCCCAGCACCATTAGTTGAAAAGACTATTCTTCCCCCATTTAATTGTCTTGGTACTGTTGTCAAAAATCAATTCACCATAATGTAAGGGTTTGTTTCTAGACTTTAAATTGTATTCCATTTGTCTGTGTCTATCATAATGTGAGTACCACATTGTCCTAATTACTGTAGCTTTGTAGTAAGTTTTAAAACTGGTAAATATGAGTTGAACTTTGTACTTCTTTTAAAATATTGTTTTGGCTATTCTGGGTCCCTTGCATTTCCATATGAATTTTAGAATCAGTTTGTCAACTTACAAAATGCTAGCTAGGATTTTGATAGGGATTATATTGAATCTGTAGATCAGTTTGAAGGCTATTGCCATCTTAATCATATTAAATCTTCCAGTCTAGAGCATGGAATATTGTTCTGTTTATTTAGATCTTCTTTAATTTCTTCAACAATGTTTCATACTTTTCATTGTACAAGTCTTGGACTTATTTTGTTAAATTTATTTCTAAGTATTTTATTTTTTGGTGCTATAGTAAGTAGAATTGTTTTAATTACATTTTTGGATTCTTGATTTCTAGTGTGTAGAATACAATTGATTTTTATTGATCTTGTATTATACAATCTTGATGAACTTTTTTATTGGTTCTAATAGTTTTTTAGTGGATTCCTTGGTATTTTCTGTATGCTAGATCACATTATCTGTTAATAGAGATATTCTTCTTTTCCAATCTGAATGCCTTTTATTTATTTTTCTTGCCTAATTTTCCTAGCTAGAACCTCCAGGACAGTGTTACATAAAACTGGTGAAAGCAGATATCCTTGTCTTGTTTCTGATCTTAAGGGGGATGCACTCACTCTTTCACCATTAAGTATGATGTTAGCTGTGTAATTTTTGTAGATGCCCCTTATCAAGTGTAGAAAGTTCTCTTTTATGCCGAAAAGTTTCTTTTGGTTGAGACTTTTTATCATTAAAGAGTGTTGGATTGGGGGGAGGAGGGAGGAGGGGACGGGTATTTGTATGCACAAGGAGTGCAATGCGCACCACCCGAAGGATGGACATATTTGAAACACGGACTTGGGGGGGGGACCAAGGGCAACA